ATGATGATGATGGGCATGATGGAGAAGGTGGAGAAGGAGAAGGTGGTGAAGATGAAGAAGAGCAACAACAACAACAACCGCAACAAAGAGGAAGAAGAAGACAACAACATCACCAACAAGACAACCAAGGAGATGCATACCTCCGTGAGATGGAGGCTATGCGTGAGCATATGGAGCGCATGCAAGGTATGTATTCGAACCATCAAACTTTGTCTTTTCAAACTAGCGCCCTATATGACGCTAGTGTACGTAGGGGGGAGGACACTCCTCCGGTGAACTAACCTTATGTACCGCCCCAACAAGGGCTGGTGCCATCTAGGGGTGGTGACAACCTCCCCACGTACCCATATTGGCCCGGGGTTGCGAACCCCGATGAGCCAAGGCGTTTTTACTTTTGGGTTTGGGATACATTTGCCTACTTGCTAGCCCTTTGAACTTTTTTCCCTACTTTTCAAGCCACATATTTAGAATTCTTGAGCCTTTTGTTTCATTTTCATTTTCTCTTGGTTTTTGTGAAGCAATGGTCAATGTTGGAAGATTGTGGTGTATAAGTTTGGATTTGGATTCGAATTGGTGAACAAGGTTGAGTTGTTTATATTTGGAAAATAATGACAAATGACTAAGTAAAAGCCTTCCCAAATAAAAAGGCAAGGACTAATGCTTTGATAAAGTAAGAAAAAAATGAAAAAAAAAAGAAAAAAAAACCATAAAAATTCAAGTGTCTTTCTCCCTTTTATGCAATGAGGACAATGCTCCTTTAAGATTTGGGGGAAAGCGTTTGCGCTTTTTATTCTTATGATTGTAGATTGTTGCTTTGAATAAGCTTGGGGGTGTTAATATGTTTTTGTTTGGTGATTACTCGATTTTGGTGTTAAGATTTGGCCAATCTTTGCTTCACAATTTAGGTTAACCACCTAATTTTAAATTTAGCCTACCTTAACCCTTTTTGCCTCACGTTACAACCTTTGGGAAGACCTTTTGATCTAGGGGTTGAGTCATTCATCGGCGGAGGGAATCATGGGTTATAGCCTAAGGAAAGGGGATGCGAAGTCAAGATGTCGAGTAAGCCAAAAATTCGATCTTTTTCCGGTTCCTTCGTGGAATCTATGAGACGCTCACTAAGGGGAGATATGAGATTAGTAGGGGGAACGCGGTAAGATCGTTTGGGATGAAAGTGGAGTGTGAAAACTAGTTCCTATGCTTAGCATATTTATGTTTCAATCAACTTTAGGTATCTTATAACGTGCATACCATTACTTACTTTAGAAAGGTTGTTATTCATTTGAACTATAGTCACTTTGTAAAGTCCATTTCACAAAGATTTTTATTTTTATTTTGTTTTTCATTATTTGCTCTTTATTCTTGTATTTTGCCTCATTTTTCCTTCTTTTGTTTGTTTAATAAGAGTTATATGTTATCTCTAGGAAACCTTTACGAGAGCATCACTTATCCTCTAGAGCGATCTAGGGGTTTGAATGGCTTGTCTTTTGTTGCTAAAATTGACCGTGATTCCTACGAAAGTAAGTTAGTGTATAGTCTCACCTCTTTCTTTTTCTTTTCTTATTTTGAATAAGCCCTTCTTTGTCCTTTTTAGCCTTTGTTTTGCTTGGGACGAGCAAAAGTCTAGTTTGGGGGAATTTGATGAGTGTCATTTATGGCACTCATAGGGTAGCCTTTTAGGATTATTTCATCTTCCTTTTTATGCTTTCTTATCTTATTTTCGGTCCTTTTTCCTTTAATTACTTTCTTTCTTTCTTTCCTTGTGTTTTTCGTGTTTTCCTTTTATTTGGTTCTTTTTCCCTTTTATTCCTTTTCGTTATTTGTTTTTTGTAGGTATCTAGGATTTGTCTTTGCAATGGAATCAAGATGGGCTATATTGACTAAGCAAGGAGGAAATCATCGGCTTGGAAAGGGCTCAAAGAGGGCATGGAGAGGGCATCAAACCCTGCCAGTCTGCCGCGGGCGCGAGTACAGAAGGCCGTGAGCGCGGGCTCATATGCACAAAAGTGGCAGATTTCGACCAGGAACTCTGCGCGGTCTGGCCGCAGGCTTGCCGCGGGCGCGGGTAGATTGGAGAGCCCGCTCGTCCCAGAGAGACCGCGGCCCTCTGATCATCCTTTGGGAGCAGGGGATTCGCCGCGCTTTTGCCGCGGGCGGGGGTGCTTTTGCCGCGGGCGCGGGCTAGAAAACCCGCAGGCGCGGATGTTCCCCAGAAAGCCCGCGGAGTTTTTAATGGGTTCTGTACCCATTTTTTCGCGGGCGCGGGGTTTATTGGAGAGGGCGCGGGAATCCCGTTTTTCTTCTTTGCCTATAAATTCACTTGTAATTCCTTTTTGAAGATAACTTTTAGATAATTTTCATTAGCTTAGTTTTAGAGAGAGAAGTTAGAGAGAAGTTAGAGAGAAGTTCTTGGTATTGGATTTGTATTTCAACATTGGATCTATTGTGCTTGGATTTCTTCTTTTTCAATCATTAATGTTAGTAAGATTCTCTTCTTCTAGTTCATCTCTTACTTGATTGATTTAGTTTCATCTTTGATTGTTTGTATTGCTTGGATTTGAATTGGATATTGTAGTTGATATTGCTTTATCTTGATTTTGATTTAGAATGATGATCAATGCTAATTCTAGTGATTTGTTCTTGAGTTACACCATGATTAGTGAGTAGATTAGTTGCTAGGGAGAAGGGGAAGCATGCTTGATTGATAATTTGTGCTAGTTGATGATCTTTGATTGATTGAATTGTTGCAATTAAATTGGTTGACATATTTTTGCATGTGATTAATTTGATTAGGAATGATCAACCTATAAGATTAATCTAGATTGCATTGCATTTCTTAATGACATGACCCATCGATTTGAGAATTGCTTTAATTGATTGAGTTTGATTGTGAATTTACTTGATTAGCCATTCATAGTGACCCCTAGTTTGGCCTCTAGGAGATAGCTCTTGAACTCTCTTGATTGCTACTATTGTTTGTCCTTTGCAATGCTTGAATCAAACGAAGAAATTGTCGATTAGCACGATTATTGAATTAACATGTGGAACTAATATCCCTAGCATTTAGCCTTTTGAATTACTTGATTAGTCTAATTTTGCTATCATAACACCAATCATTTTCTCACTTCAATCTTCGAAATAGCTTGATTTAGGCTAAAGATAACACGAACTAACTCCTTTGGGTTTAACCCTGTACTTACCTATACTTGTTTTAGGTTGGTTTAGGACTTTATAAATAGTATTTGATTTTGGGATAGGAAATTAACGACTAGTTTATTCCTCTATCAAAATGGCGCCGTTTCCGGGGAGTGAGATTGGTGCTTAGCTTTAGTTGTTGAGTCTATTTCATTTTAATTGAAAAAAAAAATACAAAAAGATTTTGTTTCTTAAGGCTACATTTGTAGCCGTGCTACTAATATTTTCATTGAAGTTTTGCATGCATAGAGCTCGTGATCGATCCATTGTGCCTTTTGACCCGGAAATCGAAAGGACTCTTTCGAGGAGAAGAATTGCTAGTAGATCCTTTGAATTTAGTTCTTCAAGCGAAGAGGGATTTGAAGAAGAACTAGGCATGGGAGATAAACCAAGACTTGGTTTGAAAGATTTGTGAATTCCCGGTGCGTACAAGTTTGAGAGAGGAATTGCTCCACCTACAACACCGGCGAATGACTTCGAAATTAGGCCGGCTATGATTGCTTTGATCAAAAGGAGACAATATAGGAGCTAAGAATGAGAGTCCGTTGAACCATCTCAAGGAGTTCGAAAAGTATTGCAACAATATCAAAGTGAACGGAGTTTCTCAATAATTCATCCGGCTAAAGTTGTTTCCATTTTTCACTCATAGACCAAGCCTTGGAGTGGTTGGATAAGGAGGTAAAGCCAAATTCCCTTCGAACATCGGATGAAGTCACCAAGGAATTCTTGTCCCGATTCTACCCACAAAAGAAAACGGCGGAGGCTAGAACTTTGATTCAAGGGTTCAAGCAAAGACCTAATGAAAGCCTCTACGAAGCATGGGAGAGGTATAAAAAGTATCAAAGGGAATGTCCCCACCACAGAATTCCAACTTATCAAGTCATTCAAATTTTCTATGGTGGCCTAAGTCCTCAAGGAAAATCATGCCTTGATGGGGGTGTCGGAGGTCCCATAATGAATCGGACGGAAGAGGAAGTGGTGGACATTATAGAGGATGTGGTTAAGTACTATAGAGATTGGAAAGATGGTGAGAGGGATTCAACTATCAAGAGTGGCTCTTCGGTGTACTCTATAGACCATCTAAATGCGATCAACAACTTATTCTCACAAATGACAAACTTGGGGAAAGAAATGACCGCAATCAAGGCCAAGTTGGAGGGTTCCTTTTCTTCTCAAGCTTCAAGTTCTCCCTCCCAATTTAAGGGGAGAGGTACCTTTTCTAACTCTCAACCCCCTCCCTCTTCAAATAATATGCCTAGTGGTTGCTTGTTTTGTGATGCATGTGGATCTTATGATCATGACTCTTGTAATTTCCCTCATGTTTCTCCGGAATGTGGTGATGATTTTGATAACAGTGAGAGTGAGCATGTGAATTATGTGTCAAATAATAATGTTCAAAGATTTGATAATCAAAGAGGTCAATGGAATAGGAATTACCAAAACCAAGGTAATTTTGACAACTATAACCCAGGTGGTGGTTATAGGAACCAAGGGAACCAAAGTTCTCGTGGAAACTATAACAATCAAGGTTATAGTAGTCAAAATCAAAATAAATTATGGTAATCAAAACCAAAGTTATGGAAATCATAACCAAGGTATTGGAAACCGTAATCAAGGTTATGGTCAAAATCAAAATAGGGTAATTGGAACAATCAAGGTAGGGGCAATTTTCAAAATAATTCTCAAAGAGTCCCCCGCCCGGGTTTGTTCCAAAGACTCAAGGTGAAAATTCCTATTCACAATCTTCTTCTAGGACCTATTTGGAGGAAATAATTGAAAATCAAACCAAGTTGTTGAACACATATATGGCCGTTAGTGACAAGAAGTTCAATGAAATGATGACCCACAACAAAATGCTCGAAAACCAAATTTCTCAACTTGCTAGTGCTTTGAAAGACCAAGCAAGCCCTTCTTCTTTACCTTCCCAAGGCCTAGATCCTAAGAAACCCGTGAATGCTATTGTTACAAGGAGTGGTAAGGTTCTTGAGGAGAGATTGCATAGGAGGAGTGATAACAAGGAGGTCTCCAAGGAAGTTTTGATTGAGAATGAGGGAAGTAGAGCATCTTTAGATGAGGTTGTGGTTGAGACACCAAGAGAGGTGAGAGTAGAGAAAGAGATTTTGAAACCCAAGCTCCCTTATCCCCAAAAATTCATGAGACACAAATTAGATGAGCAATTTGGGAGATTTATTGATATGCTCAAACAACTTCACCTTTCTCTACCTTTCACCGATGTGATCAACCAAATGCCTAATTATGCCAAATTCCTCAAATACATTTTGAGCGGAAAGAGGACTTGTGATGTTGTGGAGACAATCAATTTGACTGAAAATTGTAGTGCGATCATCATGAACAAAATACCACCTAAGTAGAAAGACCCCGGAAACTTTTCCATCCCTTGTGCTATTAGCAAGATGCAATTTGATAATGCCTTATGTGATTTAGGAGCTAGTGTAAGCTTAATGCCATATTCGGTTTATCAAAGACTTGATCTAGGGGAACTCTTACCTTCTAACATTACCTTGCAACTAGCCGATAGGTCAATCAAATTTCCAAAAGGTAAAGTGGACGATGTTCCATTGAGGGTTGGGAAGTTTGTGTTCTCGGTGGATTTTGTTGTCTTAGAAATGGATGAAGATGCTACCAATCCAATTATTCTAGGTAGACCCTTTCTTGCTACCTCGGGTGCTATGATAGATGTAAAGTGTGCAAAGATTTCCCTTAAGGTAGGAGATGAGGTCATAGAATTCGATTTGAATAAAACCATAAAATATTCAAGTTCTTCTCTTGAAAATTGCATGATGATTGACTCTCTTGATCATGTTGTGTCTTCCATGCATGAGCACTTGCTCACCTCTAACGACGCTCTTGAGAATGTTTTGTTGAACAAAGACAAGCTAGGTGTACCATGCAAGGAGGTAGTATTGTATGAGGAATTGCTTAATGGAAGCATGGAGGAAGTGGATGAACAATTGTGCTTGAAGATCTAAAGCCATGAAGCCTTGCAAGAGGCCGCAACAAAAGAAGGTAAAGGTGTGCCTATGGTAGAGCTCAAACCTCTACCATCACACCTTAGGTATGAATTCTTAGGCCCAAATTCCACTTACCCCGTAATTGTTAGTGCATCCTTGAGCGAGAGCCAAGCTCAAGGGTTATGTTGTGTCTTGAGAAAGCACCAAGGTGCTTTGGGCTATACTATCGATGATCTTAAAGGTATAAGCCCCACTTTGTGTACGCACCACATAACTCTTGAGGAAGGCACCCTTCCTTCTATTGAACGACAAAGAAAGCTACACCCTCAAATGGGAGAGGTGGTGAAAAAAGAGATCACTAAGCTCTTGGATGCGGGAATCATATTCCCCATCTCAAGCTCTAGGTGAGTTTCTCCCGTTCATGTCGTTCCTAAGAAGGGGGGTATGACCGTAGTCAAGAATGAGAGTGGTGAGCTCATTCCAACTAGGACGGTCACCGGTTGGAGGATGTGTATAGACTATAGACGTCTAAATACATCCACCAAAAAGGATCATTTTCCCCTTCCATTCATTGATCAAATGTTAGAGAGACTAACAAGGCACAAGTTCTATTTCTTCCTCGATGGCTATTCGGGATATTTCCAAATTCCAATCCACCCCGAAGATCAAGAGAAAACAACATTTACATGCCCCTATGGGACCTTTGCCTATAGGAGAATACCCTTTGGCCTTTGTAATGCCCCTGCAACTTTCCAAAGATGCGTGATGAGCATTTTTGGAGACATGTTGGAGGAAGAAATGGAGGTTTTTATGGATGATTTCTCTGTAGGTGGGGTTTCGTTTGAAGAGTGCCTAGTTAATCTTGAGAAATGTTTGGCTCTATGTAAAGGTTAATCTTGTCTTGAATTGGGAGAAATTCCATTTCATGGTGGAGGAAGGGATAGTGCTTGGGCATAAGATCTCTCATAAAGGAATAGAGGTGGATAAGGCCAAAATTGAAGTTATTGAGAAGCTTCAACCTCCGGTGAATGTCAAGGGAGTGAGATCATTTTTTGGTCATGCGGGTTTTTATAGAAGATTCATCAAGGATTTTTCACTTATTGCCAAGCCCCTTAATGATCTTCTTCAAAAAGATGTTAAGTTCGTTTTTGATGATAAATTCTTGGAAGCATTTAATAGATTGAAGAAGGCCCTAATCTCTACCCCCATTGTTCAAGCCTCAAGATGGGATCTACCCTTTGAATTGATGTGTGATGCTAGTGATTGGGCAATTGGAGGTGTTTTGGGACAACGTGTGGACAAGAAGCTTTATGTGATTTACTATATGTCCAAGACACTAAATGGGGCCCAAAAGAATTACACAACAACGGAAAAAGAATTCTTGGCCATTGTTCACTCATTCGAGAAATTCCGGTGTTATTTGTTGGGCTCCAAGACCATTGTCTTTACGGATCATGCAGACTCAAGTATCTCTTTGCCAAGAAAGAGTCCAAGCCAAGGTTGAACCGTTGGGTTCTTGAATTACAAACTTTTGAAATAGGGATTAGGGTTAAGAAGGGTGCGGAAAATGTTGTGGCGGACCATCTTTCTCGCCTTGAGGGTGATCAAATTCATGATGATGGTATACCAATTGAAGATAGAATGCTTGATGATGTCTTGTATGCCATTAAGGTTAAGGATCTCCCATGGTATGCCGACTTGGTGAACTTTCTAGCATGTGGGGAGTTTCCACCTTCTTTCTCCAAGAACCAAAAGAAGAAGCTCAAGAGGGAGGCAAGACATTACTTGTGGGATGAACCAATCTTGTATAAACGCAGGGTAGATGGCTTGCTTCGGCGTTGTGTCTCGAATGAAGAGGTGCCAAGTGTTCTAAAGATGTGTCATTCGGATCCAAGTGGCGGTCATATGGACGTTTCAAAAACCGCCACTAAGGTTCTTCAATGTGGTTTGTGGTGGCCGCATCTCTTCAAAGATTCATGGGGCTTTGTAAAGTCATGCGACCGATGTCAAAGGGTTGGAAATATCTCCAAGAGGAATGACATGCCTCAACAACCCATTCTTGAGTTAGAGGTGTTCGATGTTTGGGGGATTGACTTCATGGGACCATTCCCATCTTCATATGGTAATCAATACATACTTGTGGTTGTGGACTATGTTTCTAAATGGGTTGAGGCCATTGCATCCCCTACTAATGACCACAAAGTAGTGTTGAAGTTGTTCAACAAAATCATCTTCCCCATGGTTTGGTGTACCTAAGGCTGTGATAAGCGATAACGGATCTCATTTTGTTCACAACGCCTTCCAAAAGATGTTGAGGAAACATGAAGTGCATCAACGGTTCGGCCTTCCATATCATCCTCAATTGAGTGGCCAAGTCGAGGTCTCCAATCGTCAAATAAAGCTCATCCTTGACACTAGTAGAAAATATCAAAAAGGCACCCCCTAATTGGAACCGGTTCAGTCCAAACCGGTGCCAAAAATGGCCTACAAAATTGGTGGGAAGGTAAACCAGAGTAGAAGGCACCGGTTCACTTCAAACCGGTGCCGAAATCACAAAGGCCACCGGTTTGAACCGGTGCCTTTGTGAACCGGACCTTTTATTATTTTTTTTTAAAAAAAAACCGGCCTTATCTCTCCTTAAAACCCTAAAACTTAGCTTTCTCCTTCTCTCTCCTCTCAGTCCGCCTCTTTCATCACTCTCTCATCTCCCTTCTCTCTCCTCTGCTCTCCCTTCTTGCTCTATCTCCTCTGCTCTCCCTTTATCTCTTCTCTTTCTCTTCGAACCTCTTCTATTTCTCTTCGAACACCACCGCATCAACACCTTCTCGATCTCTCCTCTGCTCTCCCTTAAACCGCAACAACAACAACATGCAATAATAAACCGCAACAACAACAACATGCAACAACAACACCGCAAAGCCGCCGCCAGCACCGTAACATCAAGTTGATTTGGGTTTGTTCGAAGTTGATTTTGGGTTTAATTGATTTGATGAGTGTCTTCGAAATTTTTTATGGGTTTCTTTAAAAAAAAATTGTTTAATCCACCACGAATTAAATTTTTTTTATTGATTTATTTTTTATTTTAATCGATTTAAATTTTTTTTAGAAAGTGATTTTCGATTTTCTAGTTTGGTTAATCAATTTTTTAACTTAATTTAATTCGAATTTTTTTTAATTTCTTGGTTTTTTTGTCGAATTTTTTTTTCTGGGTTTTAATTGATGTTCTGGGTTTTAACTGATTTTCTGGGTTTTCTTTTTCTAGGTTGTAATTGATGTTCTGCGTTTTTGAACTGATTTTCTTTCTTTTTATTTTTCCGATTTTTTGGGTTTTTTTTTTTGGATTTTTGAACTTTTTTTTTTCGATTTTCAGGGGTTTTTTTTTTCCGATTCATTTTCTTTTTTGAATTGATTTTCATTTTCATTTTCATTTTTTGGGTTATTCTTTTCTTTTTTTCGATTTTCTTTTTTTTTTCGATTTTCTGGGTTTTTGAATTGATTCATGTTAATCGATTCATTTTGGCTGTTTTAATTGGTGCAGGTATATGGATTTAGTTCTTAAATTGAAGAATCAACTGGTTTTCTTTTTTTTTTTTTTATATTGTAATTTTTTTTTATTTATATGTTGTAATTTTTTTATTTTGATTTTGCTGTTGTAATTTATTTTGCTCTATACTGTATTTTTTTTATTATATAAATAATGAACAAATTTGATTATATTATTATTTTGGCACTTTCGGTTATTATTAAGATTTGATTATACTGTAATTTTTTTTTTATTATATATATTAATATTATAATGAACAGATTTGATTATATTAATATTAATACAGATTTAATTTTTAAGTAAAAAAAAATAAAAAATTATTATGTTGGCACTTTTGGCACCGGTTAACTGGTGCCAATTTCAACTTTTGGCACCGGTTTGAACCGGTGCCTTTTTAAACCCCTTTTTGGCACCCCCCACATTGGCACCGGTTAAAACCGGTGCCTTAGGCCGGGTTTGAACCGGTGCCAAATTCGTTTTTTCACGTAGTGTGAGAAGACGGTTGCAAGGAATAGAAAGGATTGGTCGGACAAGTTAGATGATGCTCTTTGAGCTTATAGGACGGCTTTCAAGATGCCTATTGGTACCACTACATATCGCCTTTTCTATGGCAAGTCTTGCCATCTCCCCGGTGGAGCTTGAACACCGTTCTTTATGGGCAATCAAAAAGATAAACTTTGATTTCGAAAGTGCGGGCGAGAAAAGGTGGTTGGATCTTCATGAGCTAGAGGAGCTTAGACTTGATGCTTGTGACTGTGCTAGCACCTACAAAGCTCGTTCTAAAGAAGCTAATGATAAGCTTATTGAGAAGAAGGAGTTTTGTGTAGGTGATAAAGTCCTCCTCTACCACTCGAGA